CAGCCACTCTGGAAGTTAGTATGGAGGTTCCTCAAAAAATTAAAAATAGAACTACCCTACGACCCAGCAATTGCACTACTAGGTATTTATCCAAGGGATACAAAAATGATGAATCGAAGGTGCATGTGCACCCCAATGTTTATAGCAGCACTATCAACAATAGCCAAAGAATGGAAAGAGCCCAAATGTCCATCAATGGATGAATGGATAAAGAAGATGTGGTGTGTATATATATATATATATATATATACAATGGAGTATTACTTGACAGTCAAAAAGAATGAAGTCTTGACATTTGCAACTATGTGTATGAACTAGAGGGTATTATGCTAAGCGAGATTAGTCAGAGAAAGATAAATACCATATGACTTCAAACATTAAAAAAAATTTTAGGGGTGCCTGGATGGCTCAGTTGGTTAAGCATCTGACTTCGGCTCAGGTCATGATCTCATGTTTCGTGGGTTCGAGCCCTGCGTCAGGGTCTGTGCTGACAGCTAGCTCAGAGCCTGGAGCCTGTTTCAGATTCTGTGTCCCCCTCTCTCTGACCCTCCCCTGTTCTCCCTCCCTCCCTCTCACAGAAATAAATAAAAAACACTAAAATATATATATATTATATATATACACATACATACACACATATACACATATCATATGACTTCACTCGTATGAGGACTTTTAGATACAAAACAGATGAACATAAGGGAAGGGAAGCAAAAATAATATAAAAACAGGGAGGTGGACAAAACAGAGACTCTTAAATATGGAGAACAAATAGAGGGTTACTGGAGGGGTTGTGAGAGAGAGGATGGGCTAATTAAGGAATCTACTCCTGAAATCACTGTTGTACTATATGTTAACTAACATGGATGTAAATTAAAAAAAAAAAATTTAAGTAAAAATAGAATTGAAGAGGTGCTTGCACGGCTCAGTCAGGTAAGTGGTCTACTTCGGCTCAGGTCACGATCTTATGGTTTGTGAGTTTGAGACCTGCATCAGGCTCTGTGACAGCTCAGAGTCTGGAGCCTGCTTCAGATTCTGTGTCTCCCTCTCTCTCTGCCTGTCCCCTGCTTGCACTCTCTTTCTCTCCCAAAAATAAACATACATTAAAAAAATTTTTAATAGAAATGTAATTACCTCTTTTTGATACTTAACAAAAGAATATTTCCTCTGATTTCTTTGAGGATGGGAAAAGGAGAGATAGTTTAGAGTCAGCAAATGGATAACCAAAAAACACAGCTCTGCAGAACTTGTGGAAAATACTCCATTCGGATTGTTAGAGGTGTTTTATTGGAGATCTGAGGGTCTATCCATAGAAGTCCCCAAAACTAAAAGACAAACTCAGGAACTTAATTCCTTATAATGCACACCCTGTCCTTAGGGCACAAGTGACCTGAAAGTCTCTGAACATCACGGGCCATTATTAGGGTTCCAGCTCCCCCACGCATGCAGAACAGAGCACTGGGAGGTATCTGAGCTTTGAATAGCAAGGGTGGTTAGCCCTTGGAGATGATGGGCTTCGGCTGCCCTAAAGTTTGTGGAGATTTCCCACCACTTTTCTCACCAGCCTGCCTGCCTTCAGCAACGATCTTCCCTTCTACCTGAGCAGACACCACGTACCCCGAGGAATTATAAAACCACGGGTTCCCCAGCTGGACGCCAAAGCAGAGCATGTCGGCATCTCCTTTTGCTTACTTCCTATTGCACAGCTTTCTCTGGAGCCCTCTAAATATGGTGCTGGAGATGACAATGAACCGTTTTGTAGCTTTCTCTCAATTGTAAAAGGAGAAAAAAAAACAGAGAATGCTGCTTAATCATTTATGGAATTTTCAGCTGTGCCATTTTGCTGGATGGTTTCTATACACAGGAAGGATGACAACAAAGAAATGGGACTGAGCTATCTTAGTCAAAATACCATAACATATATGCCCAAATGTGGGCTGCCAACGTTTAAGTATTCATTTAGTCAACATTTATTTCACATCTATGTCTCAGGGACAGGGAGGGAATATTTTTTAATTAATTTTATTATTTTTTAACTATTTTATTTTTGAGAGAGACAGAGTATGAGCAAGGGAGGGACAGACAAGGAGGGAGATACTGAATCTGAAGCAGGCTCCAAACGGCAGCACAGAGCCTGGCTCTGGGCTTGAACTCATGAACTGTGAGACTATTTATTACCTGAGCCAAAGTCAGAACTTAATCTACTGAGCCACCGAGGCCCTCAGGGAATAAAGTTTAAACGTGGCCCAGCCTTATAAGACTAGATGTAAGATCAGCAGAACAGTCTTGACAGTCCAGAAACAATCCCTTATGCTTATGGTCAACTGATTTTTAACAAAATGTGCTGGAGCAATTCAAGCAAGAAAGAATAGTCTTTTCAACAAATGGTGCTGGGATAACTGGACACATACACACAAAAGGGTGAATTTGGATCCCTTCCTCAGGTAATACATACAAAAAAACTAATTATTAGTTTAAAATGGATGGAGGGATGCCTGGGTGGCTCAGTTGGTTGAGCGTCCAGCTCTTGATTTCAGCTCAGGTCACGATCTCACACTGAGGTCCATGAATTTGAGCCTCGTGTTGGGCTCTGTGGTGTGAGCATGGAGCCTGCTTGGGATTCTCTATCCCCCATTGTTTTTTTTTCTCTCTCTCTGTCTCTCTCTCTCTCTCAAAATAAAGAATTTTTTTTTAAAGATAGGCAGTAAGAAGCACTGACAAGGGCTTGGAGAAACAGAAACCCTCATACACTGATGGCTGGAATGTAAAATGGTCCAGTCACTTTGGAAAAGTTTGGCGGTTCCCCAGAATGTTAAACATAGATTTACCACATAGCTTAGCAAGTCCCAGGTATCTACCCAAGAGAAATGAAGATTTATGTCTACACACTCAAATAGGAATATTGATCACAGCATTAATCATAATAACCAAAAAGTGGAGGGGCGCCTGGGTGGCTTAGTCGGTTGAGCGTCCGACTTTTGCTTAGGTCATGATCTCGCGGTTCGTGGGTTCGGGCCCCACGTCGGGCTCTGTGCTGACTGCCAGCTCAGAGCCTGGAGCCTGTTTCAGTCTGTGACTCCCTCTCTCTCTGACCCTCCCCTGCTCGCGCTGTCTCTCTCTCTCTCCTAGAAATAAATAAAACATTTAAAAAAAAAAAAAAACCAAAAAGTGGAAACAACCCAAGTGTCTATCAACTGCAGGGTAAATAACCACAATGTGTTCTACCCAGCTGATAGAATACTATACACCCATAGAGAAGGAAGTACTGATATGTACTGCAACGTGGGTGAACTCTGAACACATTATGCCAAGTGCAAGAAGGCAATCACAGAAGATCACATAATGTACAATCCCATTTATATGAAACATCCAGAATCCACAAATTAGTGGTTGTCACTAATTATTGGTTGTCAGAGGCCAGGACGAGGACAGGATGGGGGGGACTGACTGATAATGGGTATGGGTTTCTTTTTGTGGTTGCACAACTCTGTAAATACGCTAAAAATCATGGAATTGTACATTTAAAAGGGGTAAATCTTATGATATGTATAAAGCTGCTTTAAAAAATTATAGCCCCCAGCCCCATAACTCTTTTTTTAATGTTTTATTTTTGAGAGTGAGAGACACAGAGCACAAGCAGGGGAGGGGCAGAGAGAGAGTGAGACACAGAATCCAAAGCAAGCTTCAGGCTCTGAGCTGTCAGCACTGAGCCTGATGCAGGGCTTGAACCCACGAACCATGAGATCATGACCTGAACCAAAGTTGGATGTTCAACCAACTAAGCCACCCAGACGCCCCTACCATAACTCTTAATCCATTACCCTGCTATACTTTTCCTTTGTTTCCATAGTGCTGTCACCTTTTTATATACCATATAATTTTTTTTTAAGTGGGAAAGGGCCCATCCTCTGTCCTCCAGGAGAGGCTGACACAAATAACTAACGGTAGTGAGGGAGCTTTACATGTGTTCTCAATATAAGCCCTTATACTTGATTTCCCATCTGTTAAGTAACACTACAATAACTTCATTCACAGGATTGTTGTAATAACCAAATGCAAAAATGTTCCTCTCACACAACATCTGATGATGAAATACTGGCACCTGTGACAGAGGTGGTTAGTTGTTCAGTGACATCCATTCTCCCTGGCTTCATCCCTCTCCACTCCAAATCTTGTTAAAGATGGCAGTGGGCCCAACGAAGAACACATGGAGGTGGCCACGTGATCTTGGTAGGGTCAATGACATGAGATTGGAAATTGATGGGTGTGCTTTCTGGGAAAGCCTCTCAAAAGAGGTCAGATTTGGCTGACTCTTAGGACATCTACCCACAAATGGCACCTCTTGTAGTTGTCAAGGTAGTAGATCAGCCTTGGCCTTTCTTTGCCCTTGCCTTTACCTACCTGGAAGGCTAGAGCTCCAAAAGGCAGATTTCCAGCCACAAGATGGGGGGTGAGGGCCACAAGGAGACAGCAATGGGACCCAAAGCTCACAGTCCACTTTTAAGTTGTCTCGTCTCTAAGAAGGTCTAAGGGTGACAGAGTGATCACTGGGACCTGCAGCATTTGCCTTGAACTGCCTACCTTCAAACTTCACATTTCATGAAAGAGACATTTATTTAAGCCATAGTGTTTTAGTTTCCTGTTACTCACAGCTGAATGTATTTCCTACATAAAATTAATGTCTAGGGCATTGAATTAGTATGCTTTACTAATCATGACATCACCTTGTATGTAGGTAACAACATTCCACAGACAATGAGTAACACATATTTCCTAAGGGAACCACGAGTTATTCCCCATAATATGTCTGTGATGAACTTCTTGAGTGCCCTGGACAACTCTGGGGCCATCTACATCATGGCCCTACATCATGCTTCGGAGTAAAGCATGACTAGGAAAAAGTAAAGGCAAAGTTAAGTCTTCCAACAGTCCACTCTGTGGAAACATTTTAAGAGAACACTTGCTTTTCTCTTCCAAAAAGTTCATTTCTTTATTCTTACCTCTGCGGACAGATGAATCTGAGAACAAATTGCCTAAAGAACTGCTGACCTCTGGGGTGGTGTCTTCTGAAATCTGTACCACATAGGAATCCAATCGCTCTCTAGTCTTAGAATGTGGTTCTTCATGAGTTCTTTGTGGCTCAGATGAAGGTAAACTTGTGGAGTGACTAGGCCCAGTCTGGATGTTACTATCTGCTGCTTTCCGAACCAGATGCTGATGATCTCCAGAACTGAAGTCTATTGGTTCACTGATCTCCAAGTCCATTTTCCTGGAGTGGGAGAGTTGTTATTCAAGTCCTTGTGCTCATAAACAACTACAATCTTAGCATCCTCATAACATTCAAGTGAATTTTTCTTAATTTTAACTTCCTTAGTACTTACCAAGTCAGTACTTAGCAAATATTTATTGGATGAATAATGAATACTTTTAAGATGAAGCCTATAGAGTAAAATAACTTGCATTCTATTGTGAAATTATAGGTTTATAAATTCATTCAGCTAGGAGTTAATAATCTCCTTCTTATGCACCAAGTATGCAGCTGCCCATCACCTCTGCCCTCAAAGTGCTTACATTTTGGGAGAGAAGATAATCAAACACACAATGATATAAAAGGCAAAATAAGCAGGGCCAGGAACAGTGGAGGATATGAGAACCCCTAATGAAATCTGGAGGAATATGCAGGAAGTATAAGAGGTTGTCAAAAGCTTCCAGATAAAGTGAAGTTTAAGCCAAGGCTGGAAGATGAGTAGGAATAAGAGGTGGGGAAAGACAGGGACCTAGTCCAGCCTGGACCAGAACTGGAGGAAGCAGAGAAGACAGGTTCCAGAGCAGAATGAGGTTAGACAGAGGACTAGTTAGGGCAGGCCAATGAGGGGCTGGCAAGCCAAATTCGTCCTGAAGGGAATGGCTGTGGTAGGCAGAATTAATGCCCTGCCCAAGAGGTGCACATCCTAATCTCTGGGACTTGTGAATGCTGCGTCACATGGCAAAGGGAACACTGTAGATGTGAGGAAGTTAAGGATTCTGAGGTAGGGATAGGATTCCAGATTATCTGGGTGGACCCAGTTGAATCACAAGCATCCTCAGGATCATACTTTTAAGAGGGAGGCTGGAGGATCAGAGTCACAGAAGGAGATGTGACCACAGGAGCAGAAGTCAGTAATAGAGTTGCTGTCTTTGAAGATGGAGGGAGGAGCCAAGAGCCAAGGAATGCAGGAGGCCTCTGGAAGTTGAACAAGGCAAGGAATACATTTATTCTCCCCTAGCACCTCCAGAAAGGAATGCTGACACTTTGATTTTAGCCCAATAAGACTGATTTTGGACTGCTGCTCTGCAGGACTATAAGATGATAAATTTGTATTGTTTTAAGGCGTCATGCTTGTAGTAATTTGTTACAGCAGCCATAGATAACTAACACAATGAAGAATTACTGAAGGTTCTCCAGCAGGGCACCATGGGGATCTGACTAGAAAGGCTGCCCTAGGCACTCGTGTGGAGAAAGAGCCAGAATAAGCAAAAGCAGAAGCAAAGAGATTACGGTGGCTGTGCCACAGTGCTTTGGAGCAGAACACACTTCTTAGAAAACCAGTACTAAATGAACCAAAAATGGCAAAGAAAAGCCATCTACCATTAACCTCAGGAGGATGCAAAGACAAGCCCCTGCTGCTGGCCTCCTGCCCTGCAAACACAGTCTGAAGAGACTGCTGCGAGGGCCAGGGCTTCCGCAAACCGTAGACCACCTGGGAATGGCAGAAACTGAAGGTCTGAACAGAACACCATAATCTCAGAGAGACAGAGTCCCTTTTGTAAAGATGTCCTTCTCCTCAAATTAATCTCTAAGTTTTACAAAATTCATTGGGAATTTTTTTTTGCAGTACTTGAAAATGTTAACTCTAGGGTTCATAAGAAAGAGTAAATATATGAGAATAATCAAGGAAAAAATTGAAAGAGAAGGATTATGGAGAGTTGGGGGGTAGTGATCTACCTTATCAAACACCAAAATATCATGAAGCTACAGAATTAAAAGTGTGGTGCCAGCATATCAATAGAGAAATGGAGTGGTGGGATAGAAGAGATACAAGAAATAGACCCATGTATATATATGAGAATTTAAAATTTGATTAAGGTGGCATTTCAAATTATTGTCCCATGGTGTTGGACCAACTGGCTATGCTTGGAAAACAAAGTTAAGAAACATTTCACATCCTTTACAAAAATGCATTCCAGATGAATTAAAGATATTATAGTATCTTGTAGAATATCTACAATCTTGTAGAATATCTAATAGCCATCGATATTCTACAAAACAAAATATCAATGAAACTCTTCGTAAGCCTTTGGAAGAAGGATACCATAAAAGAAAGGCTTGCCAAATCGGGAGTACAAAAACACTTTAAGTATCATTACACAAAGATACCAATAAGTCTGAAATGCAAAATTATGAAAAAAATTTGCAATGTTTACTATACTGTAAAAAGAAGTTTTTAACAAGGAAAAGATGAGCAATTCAACAGAAAGATGAGAAAATAATACAAATAGGCAATTCATAAAGGGAAGTTAAGTGGTCAATAAATTTAGGAGATAATATCTCACAAATATCTAAAGTGCAAGTAAAAACAATTGTGAACTTATTTCTTTTTGCATAAAAGACCGGTGAAAACTATAAAGATAATTCTCAGAGTCGCAAGGATGTGGAAAAAATGGATAACCCAGGGTCACATTACAACTTGTGGGGGTCCTACACACATTTGCCTTTGGGGGTCCCCCTCCATAAAAAAAATATTAAAATATACATTTTATGGCTGCACTGGTATAAAAAATACAATCCAGGTTGGAGTCATTGTATACTATGTATTCATTATTATTCTTATATTTTTTTCTCCTGATTTTAAAAGAAATTAAAACTTTTTCATGACCCCTAAAAGGACGGTGGGCCCTAGGCAATGTGCCTATTGTGCCCCGTGGTGAAGTGGTGAAGGTTGGCAGCTGTGTCAACCTTATTCTCGTGAGTAATTTGGCAGCCTCAGATTCAAAATACGTGTTACTTTAGTCCCAACAAGTACATTTTCAGGAACTTATCCCATAAAAATACCTGCACAAACAAGCAATGATACAGATATAAGGAAACTCAATACCTTACTCACTGTAACTGCCAAAAAAATTTAAAACAGACTAAATATCAGTCATTAAGGAAATGGTTAAATTGATTTTGGCAAAGAAAAGGTAGATATATATGGACTCATGTCATAAGTTCACTGCAATACACTTTTGAATTATACACTTTGAATTATACACACACACACACTTCCAGAGACTAAAGACATATACTACAAACTGTTAAAATGTTTATCTCTAGGGGCGCCTGGGTGGCTTAGTCGGTTGAGCGTCCGACTTTCGCTTAGGTCATGATCTCGCAGTTTGTGGGTTCGAGCCCCGCGTCGGGCTCTGTGCTGACTGCCAGCTCAGAGCCTGGAGCCTGTTTCAGTCTGTGACTCCCTCTCTCTCTGACCCTCCCCTGCTCGCGCTGTCTCTCTCTCTCTCCTAGAAATAAATAAAACATTTAAAAAAAAAAAAAAACCAAAAAGTGGAAACAACCCAAGTGTCTATCAACTGCAGGGTAAATAACCACAATGTGTTCTACCCAGCTGATAGAATACTATACACCCATAGAGAAGGAAGTACTGATATGTACTGCAACGTGGGTGAACTCTGAACACATTATGCCAAGTGCAAGAAGGCAATCACAGAAGATCACATAATGTACAATCCCATTTATATGAAACATCCAGAATCCACAAATTAGTGGTTGTCACTAATTATTGGTTGTCAGAGGCCAGGACGAGGACAGGATGGGGGGGACTGACTGATAATGGGTATGGGTTTCTTTTTGTGGTTGCACAACTCTGTAAATACGCTAAAAATCATGGAATTGTACATTTAAAAGGGGTAAATCTTATGATATGTATAAAGCTGCTTTAAAAAATTATAGCCCCCAGCCCCATAACTCTTTTTTTAATGTTTTATTTTTGAGAGTGAGAGACACAGAGCACAAGCAGGGGAGGGGCAGAGAGAGAGTGAGACACAGAATCCAAAGCAAGCTTCAGGCTCTGAGCTGTCAGCACTGAGCCTGATGCAGGGCTTGAACCCACGAACCATGAGATCATGACCTGAACCAAAGTTGGATGTTCAACCAACTAAGCCACCCAGACGCCCCTACCATAACTCTTAATCCATTACCCTGCTATACTTTTCCTTTGTTTCCATAGTGCTGTCACCTTTTTATATACCATATAATTTTTTTTTAAGTGGGAAAGGGCCCATCCTCTGTCCTCCAGGAGAGGCTGACACAAATAACTAACGGTAGTGAGGGAGCTTTACATGTGTTCTCAATATAAGCCCTTATACTTGATTTCCCATCTGTTAAGTAACACTACAATAACTTCATTCACAGGATTGTTGTAATAACCAAATGCAAAAATGTTCCTCTCACACAACATCTGATGATGAAATACTGGCACCTGTGACAGAGGTGGTTAGTTGTTCAGTGACATCCATTCTCCCTGGCTTCATCCCTCTCCACTCCAAATCTTGTTAAAGATGGCAGTGGGCCCAACGAAGAACACATGGAGGTGGCCACGTGATCTTGGTAGGGTCAATGACATGAGATTGGAAATTGATGGGTGTGCTTTCTGGGAAAGCCTCTCAAAAGAGGTCAGATTTGGCTGACTCTTAGGACATCTACCCACAAATGGCACCTCTTGTAGTTGTCAAGGTAGTAGATCAGCCTTGGCCTTTCTTTGCCCTTGCCTTTACCTACCTGGAAGGCTAGAGCTCCAAAAGGCAGATTTCCAGCCACAAGATGGGGGGTGAGGGCCACAAGGAGACAGCAATGGGACCCAAAGCTCACAGTCCACTTTTAAGTTGTCTCGTCTCTAAGAAGGTCTAAGGGTGACAGAGTGATCACTGGGACCTGCAGCATTTGCCTTGAACTGCCTACCTTCAAACTTCACATTTCATGAAAGAGACATTTATTTAAGCCATAGTGTTTTAGTTTCCTGTTACTCACAGCTGAATGTATTTCCTACATAAAATTAATGTCTAGGGCATTGAATTAGTATGCTTTACTAATCATGACATCACCTTGTATGTAGGTAACAACATTCCACAGACAATGAGTAACACATATTTCCTAAGGGAACCACGAGTTATTCCCCATAATATGTCTGTGATGAACTTCTTGAGTGCCCTGGACAACTCTGGGGCCATCTACATCATGGCCCTACATCATGCTTCGGAGTAAAGCATGACTAGGAAAAAGTAAAGGCAAAGTTAAGTCTTCCAACAGTCCACTCTGTGGAAACATTTTAAGAGAACACTTGCTTTTCTCTTCCAAAAAGTTCATTTCTTTATTCTTACCTCTGCGGACAGATGAATCTGAGAACAAATTGCCTAAAGAACTGCTGACCTCTGGGGTGGTGTCTTCTGAAATCTGTACCACATAGGAATCCAATCGCTCTCTAGTCTTAGAATGTGGTTCTTCATGAGTTCTTTGTGGCTCAGATGAAGGTAAACTTGTGGAGTGACTAGGCCCAGTCTGGATGTTACTATCTGCTGCTTTCCGAACCAGATGCTGATGATCTCCAGAACTGAAGTCTATTGGTTCACTGATCTCCAAGTCCATTTTCCTGGAGTGGGAGAGTTGTTATTCAAGTCCTTGTGCTCATAAACAACTACAATCTTAGCATCCTCATAACATTCAAGTGAATTTTTCTTAATTTTAACTTCCTTAGTACTTACCAAGTCAGTACTTAGCAAATATTTATTGGATGAATAATGAATACTTTTAAGATGAAGCCTATAGAGTAAAATAACTTGCATTCTATTGTGAAATTATAGGTTTATAAATTCATTCAGCTAGGAGTTAATAATCTCCTTCTTATGCACCAAGTATGCAGCTGCCCATCACCTCTGCCCTCAAAGTGCTTACATTTTGGGAGAGAAGATAATCAAACACACAATGATATAAAAGGCAAAATAAGCAGGGCCAGGAACAGTGGAGGATATGAGAACCCCTAATGAAATCTGGAGGAATATGCAGGAAGTATAAGAGGTTGTCAAAAGCTTCCAGATAAAGTGAAGTTTAAGCCAAGGCTGGAAGATGAGTAGGAATAAGAGGTGGGGAAAGACAGGGACCTAGTCCAGCCTGGACCAGAACTGGAGGAAGCAGAGAAGACAGGTTCCAGAGCAGAATGAGGTTAGACAGAGGACTAGTTAGGGCAGGCCAATGAGGGGCTGGCAAGCCAAATTCGTCCTGAAGGGAATGGCTGTGGTAGGCAGAATTAATGCCCTGCCCAAGAGGTGCACATCCTAATCTCTGGGACTTGTGAATGCTGCGTCACATGGCAAAGGGAACACTGTAGATGTGAGGAAGTTAAGGATTCTGAGGTAGGGATAGGATTCCAGATTATCTGGGTGGACCCAGTTGAATCACAAGCATCCTCAGGATCATACTTTTAAGAGGGAGGCTGGAGGATCAGAGTCACAGAAGGAGATGTGACCACAGGAGCAGAAGTCAGTAATAGAGTTGCTGTCTTTGAAGATGGAGGGAGGAGCCAAGAGCCAAGGAATGCAGGAGGCCTCTGGAAGTTGAACAAGGCAAGGAATACATTTATTCTCCCCTAGCACCTCCAGAAAGGAATGCTGACACTTTGATTTTAGCCCAATAAGACTGATTTTGGACTGCTGCTCTGCAGGACTATAAGATGATAAATTTGTATTGTTTTAAGGCGTCATGCTTGTAGTAATTTGTTACAGCAGCCATAGATAACTAACACAATGAAGAATTACTGAAGGTTCTCCAGCAGGGCACCATGGGGATCTGACTAGAAAGGCTGCCCTAGGCACTCGTGTGGAGAAAGAGCCAGAATAAGCAAAAGCAGAAGCAAAGAGATTACGGTGGCTGTGCCACAGTGCTTTGGAGCAGAACACACTTCTTAGAAAACCAGTACTAAATGAACCAAAAATGGCAAAGAAAAGCCATCTACCATTAACCTCAGGAGGATGCAAAGACAAGCCCCTGCTGCTGGCCTCCTGCCCTGCAAACACAGTCTGAAGAGACTGCTGCGAGGGCCAGGGCTTCCGCAAACCGTAGACCACCTGGGAATGGCAGAAACTGAAGGTCTGAACAGAACACCATAATCTCAGAGAGACAGAGTCCCTTTTGTAAAGATGTCCTTCTCCTCAAATTAATCTCTAAGTTTTACAAAATTCATTGGGAATTTTTTTTTGCAGTACTTGAAAATGTTAACTCTAGGGTTCATAAGAAAGAGTAAATATATGAGAATAATCAAGGAAAAAATTGAAAGAGAAGGATTATGGAGAGTTGGGGGGTAGTGATCTACCTTATCAAACACCAAAATATCATGAAGCTACAGAATTAAAAGTGTGGTGCCAGCATATCAATAGAGAAATGGAGTGGTGGGATAGAAGAGATACAAGAAATAGACCCATGTATATATATGAGAATTTAAAATTTGATTAAGGTGGCATTTCAAATTATTGTCCCATGGTGTTGGACCAACTGGCTATGCTTGGAAAACAAAGTTAAGAAACATTTCACATCCTTTACAAAAATGCATTCCAGATGAATTAAAGATATTATAGTATCTTGTAGAATATCTACAATCTTGTAGAATATCTAATAGCCATCGATATTCTACAAAACAAAATATCAATGAAACTCTTCGTAAGCCTTTGGAAGAAGGATACCATAAAAGAAAGGCTTGCCAAATCGGGAGTACAAAAACACTTTAAGTATCATTACACAAAGATACCAATAAGTCTGAAATGCAAAATTATGAAAAAAATTTGCAATGTTTACTATACTGTAAAAAGAAGTTTTTAACAAGGAAAAGATGAGCAATTCAACAGAAAGATGAGAAAATAATACAAATAGGCAATTCATAAAGGGAAGTTAAGTGGTCAATAAATTTAGGAGATAATATCTCACAAATATCTAAAGTGCAAGTAAAAACAATTGTGAACTTATTTCTTTTTGCATAAAAGACCGGTGAAAACTATAAAGATAATTCTCAGAGTCGCAAGGATGTGGAAAAAATGGATAACCCAGGGTCACATTACAACTTGTGGGGGTCCTACACACATTTGCCTTTGGGGGTCCCCCTCCATAAAAAAAATATTAAAATATACATTTTATGGCTGCACTGGTATAAAAAATACAATCCAGGTTGGAGTCATTGTATACTATGTATTCATTATTATTCTTATATTTTTTTCTCCTGATTTTAAAAGAAATTAAAACTTTTTCATGACCCCTAAAAGGACGGTGGGCCCTAGGCAATGTGCCTATTGTGCCCCGTGGTGAAGTGGTGAAGGTTGGCAGCTGTGTCAACCTTATTCTCGTGAGTAATTTGGCAGCCTCAGATTCAAAATACGTGTTACTTTAGTCCCAACAAGTACATTTTCAGGAACTTATCCCATAAAAATACCTGCACAAACAAGCAATGATACAGATATAAGGAAACTCAATACCTTACTCACTGTAACTGCCAAAAAAATTTAAAACAGACTAAATATCAGTCATTAAGGAAATGGTTAAATTGATTTTGGCAAAGAAAAGGTAGATATATATGGACTCATGTCATAAGTTCACTGCAATACACTTTTGAATTATACACTTTGAATTATACACACACACACACTTCCAGAGACTAAAGACATATACTACAAACTGTTAAAATGTTTATCTCTAGGGGCGCCTGGGTGGCTTAGTCGGTTGAGCGTCCGACTTTCGCTTAGGTCATGATCTCGCAGTTTGTGGGTTCGAGCCCCGCGTCGGGCTCTGTGCTGACTGCCAGCTCAGAGCCTGGAGCCTGTTTCAGTCTGTGACTCCCTCTCTCTCTGACCCTCCCCTGCTCACGCTGTCTCTCTCTCTCTCCTAGAAATAAATAAAACATTAAAAAAATTTAAAAAAAATATATGTTTATCTCTAACAGAGCAGAGTTGGGGAATTCATTCTGAGGTGCATGAGTTTTTATAATGAGCACTTACTAATTATGTAAATTAAAAAAGATATTTACATTTTGAAGAGAAAAAGCAAGATTTCTCTGTCTTGATAAAGTCTGGAGCTCCTCCGAGGAAAGCCGCCTCCCCACACAGCTGAGAAGCGCTGAAAGATGCTTTAATCCCTGAGTTGGTTTCCTCCCCCGTGCAGCCCTGCAAATCAGGAGGCAGCAAGTTTCAAACCACTTGAAAACAAAAATAAACTAACAAAAATCAAAGGCAGCTGAGCTCTCCTCACGAAACTACAGTCAGCTGGTACCTTAATCATAGAACAAGGCATTCACCTGGTCCTTCTTGTCTCCTAAATCAGAGGTCAATCCAAAGGACAGGCAGACCCTGGGGTTGAGAAGGGAAGTTCTGAGTGACAGTTAGGGGAGTGGCAGTTGGAGCCTGGGGTGGGCCAGGGTCCCCGCTGCATAGGAGAGGGCCTCTGAGTCAGGTCTATCCCCTGAGACTCCTACTGGTCAAAGGGTCATGGCTGATGTGCTGTGTGCTGAGTCTCAGTGAGGCCCTACCCCTGAACCTCCAAAACCAACTTCCAGGTCAAAGAGAGTCCTAAAACCTTAGTCCAAGGCTTCTAGGCACAGGTCCCATGTGGCAGCCATGGAACAAACATACAACAAAGCAACTGCATTAGGTTATGACGTGAGGGTGTGTCTGTGGTGGGAGGTGGACATCACGACGCCCCTCCTGAAGATGACAAAGGGAAAGGTCAGTGAGAGTGTCTGCCTGGGCTCTCCTCTCCTGCACCATCTCTGCCCCGTCCACAATCTCTCTCTCTAGTTTGTCGTCAGTAGACAATTGGACACATATTTTCCCAAGGTTACATGTCAGGGGGGAGTAGAGCAAATGCCTTGACCATCCTGGTCAAAAGAAATGCTTCCCCCTCCTCCATCTTCTCCTTCTCACTTCTCTCCTCTCCTCCTTTCTTACTGGCCTCAGAATCAACATTAATCAATCGGGCACTTACCAGATGCAGAAATTGTTTATAGTCTCACATGTAATCACTCACCGAATGCTCACGTTGAACCTGTGGAGTATCTGCTCTTAGTGTCCTCCTTTGACAGGGTAAGTAAGTGGGACTCAGGTGCTCTGCCCCTAAGATGAACAGCACAAAGGCATGAACGGTCAAGGAGTTTCACGCTGCCCATATTCACTGAGACACAAAGTCTGATGAATAGTATTCTCTTTGAAACCATCCTGTCATGTATTTTATGTAGCGGTTCTCTTTTTTTTTTTTTTAATTTTAAGACTTTTAATTAATGAACCATGCAACACCTAAATCATGCAAATTAGACTGCTTGTCAACACTGATTATTCCCTGGGGGAATTCAGCTTGATTCCTTTCCCTTAGTGTTAACTATAAGTCCTTAGGAACTATTTATTTCTCTTCAAAGCTCGCTCTCTCTCTCTCTCTCTCTCTCACACACACACACACACACATACATACACACACACACACACAAACACACCATGAACAGAATTTTTTCAAGCATCCCCATAGGTACAAATTTTCTCTATGGGCAGCAACTGAACCCTTCCCCTGGGTCCAGCCTGGGTTCTCTCTCTCTCTCTGTTTCAGTCTCAGACCTCTCCTCTGGCACCTGGCACCTCAGGGAGCCCAGCCTGGCCAGTTGTGGCTCTTGCTCTTACTGAGGCACCAGTGAGGAAGCAGGGGATTGGGTCCCAGCCTATACTGAGTTGTCTTTCTGAGTTTTTTCTCCCACCCATTTCCCTCACCTCCTGACTTGCCCCTCCACCCCTAACCACATCATCTTCTCTGCCAAGCCCCAACCACAGTCTGTCCCCACGGCACACCACTCTGTTACACTCTAGTATATCTGCACGGGACTGATAGCTTTGCTCCTTGGAGGAGAAGCACCACTTCTGGACTTAGAACTACAAGCCAAGTACAAGAACTGATCAAATCTTCACCCAGCCCTGAGGTGGGCAATACCATCCTTACTTTACAGAAAAGGACCTGAACCACAAGAGGAGATCCGGCTGCCAGTCCTTGAACTAGACCCAATCCACTGTGCACCACTATCTCCAATAGGGAGAGGATTTTTACGGCTGAAAAACTGCCTGTGTTTCGTTTTTTTCCCATTTGATACTTTCTCTATTTTTAAAATAAAAAGAACATGGAGCACCTGGGTGGCTCTGTCGGTTAAGCATCTGACTTCCACTCAGATCATGATCTCAGTTTGTGGGTTTGAGCCCTGCATCGGGCTCTGTGCTGACATCTCAGAGCCTGGAGTCTGCTTCAAATTCTGTGTCTCCCTCTCTCTCTTCCCTCTCCTGTTCATTCTCTGTCTCTCTCTGAAAAATAAAAAAAAATTATAATTTTTTTAAAAAAAAATACAATAAAAGGAACACACTATGTGGTGAAAAAAATTCAAACAATACAAAATGAAAAGTGAAAGTCTCCCTCACCAATTCTGTTACCATCAACTGACAACAGTCTTCTGCCTAAACAACCAACACAAGTACTCACCACACACATATAGCGTTGAAATGTACATAAAGTGATATTTTATACACGGTTCTATAAATTGCTTTCTTTCCTTTATCTTCACATCAGCACACAGAAGAGCCTCAAGTAGTTCCATGTGTCACTCAGAATGACATCCAAAGTCCTTACTTTGGCCAACATAATCTTGATGCAAAGATTTGACAAAGATATTATAAGAAAGGAAATTTGTAAGCCCATCTCATGAACATAGACACAAAATTTGAAAAATATTAGTAAACCAAATCCAGCAATATGTGAAAAGGATGGTGTATCATGACCAAGTTGGATTCATTCTAGGAGTTGTAATGTTAATTTAACATTCAGAAATCTATCCATGTAATCCACACATTGATACCAAAGAAAAAGCATTGTGATCATCTCACAGAGAAAACCATTTGATAAAATTGTATGCTTTGTGGTGAAAGTAGAACTAGAAGGCAACTTGCTTAACCCAACAAGGGGAATCTACAAAATTGATGGTGTCTGGTCAATACAGTGGTTATTTCTGGATAAGGGGCAAGCAGGGGCTTTTGTGGTGGTAATGTTCTACTTCTTGATTTGGTGGCCGGAGTTCCTTTGTGATAAAAGGGAGGGAAATATAGTTTTTCCTGATGATCTCATAAGGGTGGAGGGTATGACCAGGAGCTGTAGGAGCTGACAAAAACAGGAGATGGAGATGTGGGCTGAGGGGGATTGGAGGAAACTGTGTTGGGTGTTCACACCTGTGGATGTTGACCCAACTCAGGATGGCAAAGCTGGTGAGCCAGGGGTCAAGGTTCTCAGTGAATGAGAGGGAGTAATTTGCAGATGAACTGCAAAGAGTAGTACATTAGGAGATGGATGGGTGAGATGCATTAGGGGGCATGAAATTTACCACCTAGATGTCCTTCGGAGTGTACTGTCCTAAAATGAGGAGACAACAGTCCTTACCTATTTTTCTCGACCATTTTTACAGTTGGTCTTAATCCCCATAATGGTCCTGGAAGTAGTTAATATTTTGTTCTACTATTGGGGAAAACTAGACTCGGAGCAAGAATGCCTGAGCCACAGCCCAGACCTTAGGGCTGATTTGAAGGCCTTTCCAGATGTGGTGCCAGAGCAGAGGCTATGTGCCTACAGCCAGCCCAAATCATAGTCCTCCATTAATCATCAGTTTACAATAAAATAGGGATAATAAACCTCATCAAGATTAAAAGCTTCTGCACAGCCAAGGAAACAACCCAGAAAATTAATAGGCAACCAACGGAATGGGAAAAGATAGTTGCAAATGACATATCAGATAAAGGGTTAATATCCAGAATATATAAGGAACTCACCAAACTACATGCCCGAAACACAAACAACCCAGTGAAGAAATGGGCAGAAGACATGAACAGACACTTCTCCAAAGAGGACATCCGGATGGCCAACAGACACATGAAATGATGCTCAGCATCCCTCCTCATCAGGGAAATACAAATCAAAACCACACTGAGATACCACCTCACACCAGTCAGAGTGGCTAAAATGAGCAAATCAGAGAACTCGAGATGCTGGCGAGGATGTGGAGAAACGGGCACCCTCCTACACTGTTGGTGGGAATGTAAACTGGTGCAGCCCCTCTGGAAAACAGTGTGGAGGTTCCTCAGGAAACTAACACTAGAACTCCCCTAGGACCCAGCAATAGCACTGCTAGGAATTTACCCAAGGGATACAGAAATGCTGAGGCATAGGAGCACATGGACCCCAATGTTCATAGCAGCACTCGCCACAATAGCTAAAACATGGAAAGAGCCTAAGTGTCCATCAACAGATGAATGGATCAAGAAGATGTGGTTTATCTATACCATGGAATACTACATGGCAATGAGAAAGAATGAAATCTGGCCATGTGTAGCAACATGGATGGACCTTGAAGGTGTTATGCTGAGCGAAATAAGTCAGGCAGAGAAGGACAAATATCATATGTTTGCACGTATAGGAGGNAAGGGCGGAAATGGTGGGGGAAAGGGAGAGAGGCAAACCATGAGAGACTCTTGAATGCTGACAAAAACTGAGGACTGATGGATGTGGGGGGGAGGGGGGATGGGCATGGAGGAGGGCACTTGTGGGGATGAGCACTGAGTGTTATGTGGAAACTAATTTGACAATAAACTATTTGTAAAAAAAAAAAAGGTAAAAAAAATAGGGATAATAACTCCTTTCAGGGTTGTCATAAGTACTAAATTAGATTTTGTGTCATCATAGCCTTTCAATATAGTTTTCTTCTTTTTCTCCTTGGGACAGGCCACCAACATATTCACTGAGATCTCTCCAAGCATATCAAGTCTAGAAAACCCAGGGTCTTGAAGACCGGCATGCAACCACTACACTATGAAGTGAGGCGGAAAACCAGAGACCCCATTCCCTGCTGAAGCCTGTTTTGACTAGTGACATTAATAAGAGGGGAGCTGGCTTCTCATCGCGCCCTTGTACTAGGTCAGCCGTTCTCCAGTGTGGCCCAGGGAGGCCCCAAGACCCTTTCTGAAGGTCCTCCTGGTCAAAAGTGTTTCCAACAATGCCACGCCAGTTGTCTTTCCACTTTCATGCCTTCACTGGCGTGCTCAAGATCAGAGGCTACAGGGCATGTGATGACATCATCATCCAACGGCTAATGAATGCAGGCCTGACATCGTAGGCTTTATAGTGTGTTTCAACTACTGATGCATAAACGTCCATGGATGTAACTCCTATAAACAAAAGTATTTGGGAGGTCTAAATTTTTAAGACCGTAAAGGGGTCCTCAGTAGGAGTACCAGATTTAGCAAATAAAAATACAGCACACCCTGTGAAATCTGAATTTCAGATAACTATTCCATGGGATACACTCATATCGAAATATTATTCGTTGCTTATCTGAAATTCAAATGTAATTTGGCGTTCTGCATTTTACCTGCCAATTCCAGGCCAAAAAGTTTGCAAACGTCTTCCCTAGTGGGAGATCAGGTCCCCTAGCCGGGGATCGAGGGTCGCACTACAGTCCAATTCCAGAAATCCCGAGTGGGGCACTTCCGGTCAGGGGGGGCAGGCCAGCGCGGCGCAGGCCCCGCCCATCCCCGGAAGCTTCCCAGGCCGGGTCCCGCCTCCGAGCCCACCTCCCGGCGCTACGGGCCTCAGGGTGTAGGTGCTGGGCAAAGAGCGGGTGGGACCGCCTTCCTGCCTCCAGGGGGCAGCGGCCGCGCTCTGGTCGCTTCGTGGTCAGCTCGGCGCCCGCGCCGCTCTTCCTGTCGCTGGGAGTGGCGGGCCGACCAGCGGGCGGCCCGGGCCGGCGGTCGCCATTCCTGTGTCGCTGCGCCCGCGGGCGCCGCCCGAGCCCGCCACGATGCCCCTGGGCCTGAAGCCTACCTGCAGCGTCTGCAAGACCACGTCGTCCTCCATGTGGAAGAAGGGCCCGCAGGGGGAGATCCTCTGCCACCACTGCACTGGCCGGGGCGGCGTGGGCGCCGGCGCGGGGGCGGCTGGCGGGACGGGTGGCAGCAGCGGCGGTGGCGGCTTCGGCGCGGCGACCTTCGCCAGCACCTCGGCTGCCCCTCCGCAGAGCAACGGGGGCGGGGGCGGCAAGCAGGTGAGCTCCTCCGGCCTCTCCCGCCGGCTGAGGCGGATCGGGCTTGAGGTGGGCGGAGGCCGGCCGGGCGGGGAGGGGTCGTGCGCTGGGGCCTTCCGGGATTCTGGCGACCCTGCTAGAGCGGGCCGCCCCCCTCCCACAATGAAAAGATCTTCGTCAATTTGGCCCATTAAGGCACCTTTTGTTATTTTCAGCAATTGAAAGTGTACCGAACGCAAGAAAATTAAAAACCCTTCAGAAGTCCCCTTCGTTGTAGTAACACTTGCAGGAGTAACCAGACATCTCAGTACACACACGTATACACAGACACTAAACAGGATCTTGCTACTGGACCTCTTTCCCTGTAAAAGGTTATTTTACCATTATGTCATATTAAGTAATACCATGTCATTGTCTTAAATGGCTGCATAAGTATTCCACTGTAGGTAGTGCCATACCTAACTCTCGCCCTGGGGCTCGAGAGTTCAGTCGTCAAGGGTTGTCCATTACTATAAACACCTACAAAGTTAGAGTTCTGGCCTTGGCCTAGACTTACTCGCACTCCTGCCTCCCCGCCTTAGTGTGAGTAGTTCACACCTTTTCGGAGGCTGTGGAGATGCTTGCCTAGGGCCCTCCCGTTCTGATTAGCTCCGGTGATTACCCAAGGAGAAGGTTCATTCTTAATTTTTAAAACTCAACATAGAGTGCTTACTCTAGAGTCCTTGTAAGATGGTTGTATCTGGACAGCAATCTTTCTACAATTTTATCTTTTTTGTTCTTTAATTGTTTATATAACAGAGTAAACAGGAAATTCACAGGAGGTCTGCTCGGCTCAGAAACACTAAATACAAATCTGCTCCAGCTGCTGAAAAGAAAGTTTCCACTAAAGGAAAAGGGAGAAGACATATTTTTAAATTAAAAAATGTAAGATGATTGTGGACAGTGTCTTTCACGGTAATGGCATTGTGTGTGTAGTGTGTCTGTCACTGCCTTCATCTCTCATCCGAACTTTGCTCTTGGGAGCCTTTCTGCCATATTCTGGGGAGAGGTCCACCCCTTCCTAAAAGGAAGTTAACTCCCTTGCAGGAGGCTTACTGTTTACAGTTAATAATATCCTTTCTCATTTTTTTAGCTTTGTTTCCACTGGGAAATAAAAATATGAATCTAAAAGAAACCTAAACCTTGAATGCATTTTATTGGGTCCTCTGTGCAAAGGAGGTGGGATTATGGTTCTTGGTATCGCCAGGTATATTCGGGAAAAAAATTTCTTTTTATTCTTTAAAGACTGAAGTAAAAAATACCAGACCTGATTCATTTACATATGTTTGTTATTACAGCCCCAGAAAATGTATCTTACTGACTTATGGTGATCAGTTTGATGAATATGAATAAAAAATTTTGCTAACCGTTTCTTCTGCTGTAAGAAAATAGATGGCCGGCCGACTTGTGCTGGGGGTAGCTGAAGGCACCTTTTGTTGAAGCAAATGCTCAGGAATTTTGTAAACACAGGGGAAAATGGCCAAACAGAAATGTAGACTGCTTTTTAACACCTCAGTATGGTGTTCTTTCCTTTCAGAACAGGAATGCTTCACTTACCAGCAAAGGCATTTCTGAAGTTGGGCATATTCATTTATAAAACACAGGCCCTGCAGTGTATTCTTGTGCAGACTGAAGATGCTTTTCCCATTAAGAAGAGTTGCCTCTAACTTATTTAAGTCTTTTATAGCTTAGTTTTCTTAAAATGAGGCATTCATTAACTAGACAAAGCATGTAAGTAAATGTGCATGTGACTATAGTTGTGTCACTTAAGCCCATGTTTTCCTCTCGTGTGGCTGAATATGCCCTGAAGTTATTTCAGTATCAGTTTCTCTTGCAACCCCTTTCTCCAAGGATGATGCCAAGACATGTCTGGGGAGGCCTGGTTCTTGTGTTGGGGCACACAAGCGTATACTCAGCTTAAGAAGGGATTTCAGTGATGGTCGGGTGGCGGCAAATTTCTAAGAACTCCCAAGAAGCTTCATATAGCCTCAGTTCGGCCTTGCTAGAAAATTACCTCTGATGACAATGAGTATCCTAGCAGTTCCAAAGATAAGCTGAGATGGAAAATGTCTTCAAGGAGACACTTTTTTACCTTGTGTTCACCTACATATTTTTTTATGACTTCTATTCCTGTCATGCCCAGGCCATCGGAGCCGGGACGTTTTTATAACTAGAATGTTAATATGTAATAAAGCTTTGAGAGCGCCTGCAGTAGATCTCGGCAGCATAATCAGAAGCTTGTGCTTTGGTTCTCAGCAATTTTTAAGCTGATGGTAGCAGAAATAGCCATGGAAGTGTTCAGACTGCCTTGCCACAACATTCAGAAAATCGTTTGTCTTTTTATTGCACTCCTTCTCAATAAACGACAGATTTAGGATTTCTGAAGTTACAGAATTCTCATAGATGGCTGGAAAAAATGCCTAGATACACTACACACACATAATACACTATGAATGTGCTAATATTTTTACTTTTTTTTTTTTTTTTTTTTTAATTTTCCCTAGCCCATCAAAGCTCCTGAGTCTGTTTCCACCATAATCACTGCAGAATCGATCTTCTATAAGGTGAGCATCTGTAGGGTTACTGAGGGAAGATTTGGGCCTGTTGTAGGATATGCTGCCAAACGTTGGGTTCGTCCAAATGTCTCTGCTCCTCTGTAGAATGTGTGATTGTTTCTTGTTCTTTTCTAAGCTATTTCCCTCCATAAGTGGCTGGTATAAAACATATCCAGAGCTGCAGGGTAGCTGCTGATTGAAACATGGTATTTTTAAGTATTTTAAGTATCTTAAAATGCTAATGTATAGTGTGAAGTCATGAACGAGTTCATGTGTGCTATGCTGACCTTCCTTCTTATCTGCCTGAAACCCTGAAACCGCCCTGCAAATGAAGGGACTCCTTAACTTAAGTGCCTTCGTCACGTTCAGTGCTCTGTGTATGTACATACACAACACAACACGTTAATAAACACTTACCATGTGCCAGGTACTGCTCGCCTTTTGCCAAGATACTGTCTATGCCTTACAGTTCTGTTTTCATACTATTATATAAAGTTAATATTCAGCATATATTTGAGTGCCTATGTTAAGCAAGGCCCTGTTTTTTATGTGTGTGAAAAAACAAACTAATCATTTGTAATTTGGGAATAATGATTCTATGTGTAGACAAAGTAAACCATAAGTGCAAAGTATTTATATGACAAAGAACCTTGAGTAGCAGCTACAAGGACCAGATGATGATGGATGTGAACCAGCAAGTAGCAGCTTGTGGCCCACATTAACCCTACCTACCCGCCATTAGACATGTGGATGAAGGGTCCACCAGGACCCCTGCAGTTCACTTACTGCAAGTATTTCTTCAGAATTATTTTTAGGATTAAGATGCACAGATCTTTACTGGCTTTACCGGCTGCCAATGCCCTGTTTTGAGTGAAGCAGCAATAAATCACCTGGTCCCTGCAAGTCAAGAATTCCTTCTCTAGCTCAGAACCACACATACCTAAGGAAGTGCTGAGTATCATAGAAGATTTGGATCAGCCATTATAAATGTTCGAAGGAGAGATTATTTACTTTTCAAGACCTAGGGAAGAAGACATGTAACAGGCAGCAGACAAGAGTCATAGTGAGGGCTAGACACAGGACATGTACAGATTAAGTACTTAGCTGTGAAGTGGAGCAGGAATAAGACATGAAGCCTTGAGGGGCACTTGGGTGGCTGCGCCGGGTAAGCGTCTGACTTTGACTCAGGTCACGATCCCGTGGCCTGAGTTCAAGCCCTGCATCGGGCTCTGTGCCGACAGCTCAGAGTCTGGAGTCTGCTTCGGATTCTGTGTCTCCCTCCCTCTCTGCCCCTCCCCAGCTCATGGTCTGCCTCTCTCTCTCTCTCTCTCTCTAATAAACATTAAAAGAATCAATAAATATAAATAAATAAATCCATTTAAAAAAAAAAAAAAAGGCATGAATGCTGGAAATACAGGTAACTGCCTTGTGGGACGTTATCAATGGATGGGAAAGGACCTATCCTGAAGACTGTAATCAGAAGAGTTTCTGTCATTTATTTGGGTTTGAATTTGTCCTGTCCATTATCTTTATGGAGGCCAGTGAGGGAGATGTGTAGAGCGTATTCTCACCAGGTAAGTACTGCTTTTCAGTACAGGACAGAGAAGGACCACTGAGCTGGTAAAGGAGACTCAGCTGCGTTCTCTGCCTTATGTAGCCTTCAGCAAGTCGCTTATCCTGTCTACAGCTAGATGGCTGTGGCCAAAATTATGGGGATAGCACTGTTCCGATATGAAATCAAAGTGTCTTTATAAACAAATATTTTCTCCAGATGCAAGTTTCATATGTGTTGTTTAATTTTTGTTCAAGAGTGAAAAAATTTAGGATTGGCATCAACCGTAGAAACGTTGATGTATTAGACCGTCTCAAAGGTGTTTTACTGACCACTTTGCAAACTGCTTATTTCATGTTAAGGTTTCAGTGCATAGCTGTGGTTATTTTTATTTCAAATATGGGATTATCTTCTATCTCCTCTAGGGAGTGTATTATCAAATTGGAGACGTTGTTTCTGTGATTGACGAACAAGATGGAAAGCCCTACTATGCTCAGATCAGGGGCTTCATCCAGGACCAATATTGCGAGAAGAGTGCAGCGCTGACGTGGCTCATTCCCACCCTTTCGAGCCCCCGGGGCCAGTTTGATCCTGCGTCCTATATCATCGGTGAGTATGACAAGTGGCACAGGTAATTCTCCACTATTATGTAAAGGAATGTTTTAGTCTGCTCAGGCTGCTGTAACAAAATAGCACAGGCCGAGTGCCATAAACACAAAATCTATTTTCTCACAGTGCTAGAGGCTGAAGATCAAGGTGCTGTCAGGATCACTTTCTGATGAGAGATTTCTTCCTGGTTTGCAGGCACCACCTTCTCCCTGAGGCTTCAAATGGCCTTTCCTCCGAGTGTGCACGCTCCTAGCAGCTCTTCCTCTCCTTAGAAGAATGTCAGTCCTAGCAAATTAGGGCTCTACCCTATGACCTCATTTAACCTTAATTACCTCCCCAAAGGCCTCATCTCTAAATACTGTCACGTCTGGGGTTAGGGCCCATATGAATTAGGGGAACTGTAATTCAGTCCATGATAAACATAAGCATCATTAAATATTAAAAAGGAAAGAACTCTGTAGAAAATATGAAAGATATTTTATATAGTTGGAGTTCAAGTGTCATCAATTTTTGAGTTAGGGCAGTATGTACCTACTAAAAAGTGACATGGATAAGGTTTTTCTGAGCGACTCAGGTTAAATTCTATTAAAAGAATTTATTGCTCAAGAATTAGGCTTTTTAGGCACATTTACTTATAAAAATCTAGTTAAAAATAATTTGAAAAGCAGCTGTCCCTATTATTTCTAGCATCTTATGAATTTTCATCATGTGTCCTTCCACATGTCACACATATCATCCTAGACCTTTTATAACATGTCATTGTGTATAGTTGGAATGGCAGCCACTGTCCTCTTATGAATTTCAAAGCTGACAAAAGAAGTATAAATGTCTCTTGTACACTCACAGGGAGAAGTTGCTGATTAATACAATTTAAAAAGTATTCAGAATTTTAAAATTATCCCATATTTTCAGCCTTTCTGCAGAGAGCTGGCATTACTTTTGCAAAGAGTTTTTGTTTTTTCCAGAGGGAACTCAGGGACAAATACCTACTGCTGTTATTCTCACCTATGACTGAAGCTTGATACACCATCAGTTCTAAGTCTTCTGCTTGTAGGTACAAAGAGGAGTGGACTTGCATCTCCCTGACCTATGGGACTGAGTTCTCAGCAGAGGTGGTGATGTGAAGAATCACCTCTGGGGCTCCTCTCCCACCTCTTCCTCTAATCCTCAGACACTCGAGTGGGGAGCATGGCATAGAGGTTCAGAGCACACATGCTGGAGCCAGACTGTCTGGGTTCATAGCCCAGCACATACCAGCTATATGGCCCTGGGCCGTACATTAAGTTCCTTAATCTCTGTCGTCTCATACATAGAAGAGGAATAATAATAGTACCTGCCTCCGAGCAGAGTTGTGACGACTCAAAGTATCCATATATGTACAGTACTTAGAACAGTATGGACATATAATAAACACTGGTGCGCTAATATTATTTTTAGAGTCCTTTCTACATTGAGTCACTTTTTGAGGGAGTTAAATAGTTAAAGTAGAAAAAGTAGTAGAGGGTGACTTCAGAATAACACATGTGTCGAGGACGAATGTCAGGTCACCAGAGTGGTTTGTCCTAGCGTCTAGGAACTTTAACCCTTTGTGAAAAGGACATATATGTTCAAAAGGTGTTTAATCTTTCCATTGACTGACTTTTAGGACCAGAGGAGGATCTTCCAAGGAAGATGGAATACTTGGAATTTGTATGTCATGCACCTTCTGAATATTTCAAGTCACGTTCATCACCGTTTCCCACAGTTCCTACCAGACCAGAGAAGGGCTATATATGGACTCATGTCGGACCTACTCCTGCGATCACTATTAAGGAAACCGTTGCCAACCATTTGTAGTTTAGAGAGTAAAACGTATTTCCGGTTATGTTGGATTCATACTGCTATAAGACATGCCATGTTTCCTTCATGAAATTCCTACATGGAAGGAAGACTAAGAAGTTTTTCCCTAGTACCCAGTAACCAGTAACTTGTTTATTACTAGTCATTGGAAACTGAAAATGGTAACAAGGAATTAAATGACAGGCAAAGACTGTAATTTCCAGGGAGACCATTAAGAACAGGTAGTATCTATTTTTCTCTGTGATTTATTTCTAGAAACTTACTAAATGGATTGTATTTTTCTACAAGAACAAAATAGTAATTAAGGTTTAGATTTCTGACCCCAGGACTTAATCAGATCAAATGTAGCTATAACCAACTGTGTCTATCACAAAGTTACACAAGCTTTATTTTCTCATCTGGAAAATGCTAGATAGACTGTTGGCCACTTTAAAGAAAGTGACTGGTGGATGACTGTATCAGCCTGGGCTTTTAAAAACTTTATTCTATAGCAGATGGATTCAGAAATATTTTTTGATCTTAACAGAGCTGCTCCTTCCTCATTGTTTTTACCTCCCTTTCTCAAACTGAGGCTTCGGGTCAAACCGTAAAATTTTGTAGAGCAGTCAACTTCACGCAAAGCACACAGGAGACACGTAGTGTTCAGGCATCCCACTTGGTAGTTTCGTGACCACTATTAGAACAGCCATTTGGCAGTCATAAAAATGATTAATGGGCCATAAGCATTTAATATCTTTAAAAAGTCTACCTAAGGTTAAACCATCTGCTATAGACTCATAGTAACAGGCCTAAAACAAAGTTTTAGACTTAAAAGCCCTGTTTTCTATGAAATTGTCCACAATTCAGGTATATCAAGTGCAGGTCAGCTAAGTAAGAGAAGAACAATGTGAAAATGGGAAGAAGTAGGGCCCATACATCTTGCTTCTTCTTCTATCGGGACTTAACCAGCATTTTTCAATTCCAAGAAAATTTGTCAGAATCTTATTTAATCATAATGATTTTTGAGTTGTAGCAGTTTTAACTTCACATTTTTCTACACAGTGATGGTTTGTATGTTAGAAGCAAGCAACTGTAGATAGCTCTATGTGCATAGTTATCTCCATAAAAGTTACAGTAAAATTTATTGTAAATACTATTGTAAATAGCTAAGTGCCAATATTCAAACTTTTGGATTAAAATGTATTTTTCATATTGTATTTACTTTGGATTTATTTCATTTAAACAATCAAATGTGGGGCTTTCTATCTAAAAATGGTATAGAAAACACCATGGTTCTACTCCTAATTTGGAGCAACAGATTGATCAATATAGAATTGATTTTAGGAAACTTTCAAAGAATGGCTGATTGAGAAAAGAAATACTTAATGTAAGATACTTATTAAAATGAGGAAATAATGGGGGACCCGGCTGGCTCAGCTGGGGGAGCATGATACTCTTGGTCCTGAGGTTGTTAAGTTCAAGCCTCACACTGGGTGTACACATTACTTAAAAATGAAATCATTTAAAAATTAATAAAATTAGTAAATACTGAAAAAAACAGTATACTTACCATTTGTTTATAAATTGGCAAATACTTCTATAATATCTTTTAAAATAAAGATTGAATTTTCACTTTCTTCCTCAACGAATACCAATAGTTCCTACCACTCAGGGTAAATTCATTCCTTTTCTTCTGTTATTGAAGGCCTGCCCGATAGGGCCCCAGTTTATACTCCCAGCCTCGTCTGCCCCTTCTCCCCACCACTGAAATGTTTCCCCTAACATCCTCCTCATCTTCCTGGCCAAACCTTTATTCATATTGTTTCCTTCAATTTCACCCCAATAGGCCTTGCTTAAGGCGCTCATATTCTCACTCTCCATGAGACCCTTCCAGTTTCCCCATGGTTCCTGGAAATCTGTGAATATTCTATTCTGTTGTTGCTTTTAAGTTTCTGCTTCTGTTGCCCTCACCCCACCTCTGTGTTTCCTGGGGGACAGAGATGGTATGTTTCATTTACTCATTTTTATAAGCCCCACAGCACCTAACTTAAGTCTTTACTTATGGGAGTTGTTAGTTAGAATCCAAATTATGGACTCTATGGATGTTGTTACTAAAATGCCTATTAATACTTTAGTTATAGTTTAGTTACATCATACTAACTAGTAATACTAGTTAATAATAACTTTGGCTCTAATTTCAAATTTAAAGTACAGTCAAGTAGAATTTCAGATTGTTATATTCTAGAATCAGATGAATATTTTTAAGATTGTTTTAACAGGATGTTTTTAAGAGGAGCTTTAAATAGTTCTTGTACACAAATAAATCTTAATGTGAGTATCTGGAAAATTTATCCCAAGCCATTCAGGTTCTCAGCTGATGCAGGTTCAAGTTTGCCCTTCCTCTCCTGTCCCTCACCTTCCGTTCTAGACCACCTGCCCCACTGGCCCCAGTACCAGACACAGAAGCTACAGCCTTACAGAAGACTGTTCAACAGGCTCCCACATTTTGTGAAGTAAAATTTCCATTATGGATCCTTTATTCTAGATCATCCCTATTGGTTCTGTTTTTCTGATCAAATACTGACAAAGTTACTGAGGCTCTGAAGGATAAGGCAAGGAACCGCTGTTTTTTATTATAAGCTATTTAGAAGTATTTGGCCTCTTTCTTTCTTTTTCCTTCCTTCCTTCCTTTTTTTACTTCAATAAGTTTTTTAAATTGAAAGGTAATGAGGTCACATAGGGAAAGGTGGACAGATGGAATTATAAACTTTTTATTTATATAATGATTATTACTATTTTTTAACTAAGCTGTACGCCCATTGTGGGGCTTGAACTCATGACTCTAAGATCAGCCAAGCACCCCGTTATATAGTGTGCTTGCATTTTTTCTTTTTTTAAATCAGTGGGCATCTTTAATGTTTTTTTTGTTGTGTTAATTTTTTTTTTAATTTTTTAAGTGTTTATTTTTGAGAGAGAGACAGAGTACAAGCAGGGAATGGGCAGAAAGAGACAGAGACACAGAATCTGAAGCAGGCTCCTGGCTCTGAGCTGTTAGCAAAGAGCCCCGATGCAGGGCTTGAACTCACGAACCGGGAGATGATGACCTGAACTTACCCGACCAAGCCACCAAGGTGCCCCAAGACAGAGGCTCCTGTGCTGGGTTAGGACATTAAGTGGCTCCTGTGTCTAGTAAAAACTCTGCATTCTTCAATGAGAAAGAATGAAATCTGGCCATTTGTAGCAAAGTGGATGAACTCGAGGGTGTTATGCTACGTGAAATAGAAGGACAGATACCATGTTTTCACTCATATGTGGAATAGGAGAAACTGAAGAGGACCATGGGGGAGGGGAAGGGGAAAAATAGGAGAGGGAGAGAGGCAAACCATAAGAAACTCTTAAATACTGAAAACAAACTGAGGGTTGATGGGGGTGGAGGAGAGGGGCATGGAGGAGGGCACTTGTGGGGATGAGCACTGGGGTGTTATATGGAAACCAACTTGACAATAAACTATAAAAAACAAAACAAAACAAACAAACAAAAACCTATGCCTTCTTACCTGCCTCATTAAGGATTACCCCCACGTTCCTTCAGTGAGATCTAGAGATGTCCAGAAGGCTTGGGCCTCTTCAGTCCCCAGCCTTTTCGACCATTAACGGCTTAGGGATTGGTCCCTCTTCCCTCAAAGCTGGGGACAATCCCTTTTTTAGTGGCCATCTTATTTGCAGAAGGCACACTGATTGGGATCTAGCTCTTAGCAAATAGGAGGCTCTGGCCTGGCTTTATCAGGCTCTGGGTCCACAATCCTAGGAAGTAGGTATCTCTGGGGTGGCATGGAGCCAATGGCAGGTGCTATAAATTAGGCGTGCCACCTGCTGTAAGTGATTTTGTCTACTTCTTCTGCCCTGTCCCTGTTGTTAAATACAGCAAAGGCCTGTGATCCACAGTTGGTTCACAGGAGTCTGAGGCACTGTGGTTGCCTCCTGGAAACTTCCCCTGATATCTGGGGCAGCTTGCAGGGTAAAATGCCCAGCTAAAAGAGACTGCCCCTCTGGAGAATTAGGGTCAGTACTGTGGTGCCTAATGGGGTATCTCTTGATAGGATGGGGCCCCCCATGTGGGGTAGAAGCCAGTGGGATGGGAGGTGAATGAATTCACCTGAGGGAGAACCAAGGAGATAGAGGTTTATCGAACACACCGCAAAGGAGAGGCAGGCAGGACAGCAGAGGAAGACACTGTCTACCACCAGGCAGTGGGAAGGGCTTGCGTTTTAGGGGGGAAGGTGCGGAGGTGTGGCCACATCTGGAATTTTCCCTTTTTTGGTAACTGTTACTGGGTGTAAGTAGCCCGTTAATCAGCTAGGGACCGTGCATATTTTGGGGTGGGTCACCTGAAAGGCTCGTCTGCATTCAGCCAGGTGGTCACTGTGGCCCTTTCTGCATTCCACTGCCCGAGCCTGTTTGCCTAAAAGCGGCCTCCACAATATTAGTATAGTATATTTCCCAAGGGCTTCTACCAATCTCCCTTGGAAGAGAACTGGATTTTCATCCTTCCCTGGAGTTAATTTCTCTCATGTGTCACAGTTAACTAGTTTTACTATACATCACTCCATTCCTTCAGTTAAACAAGTTATCATAATTTCTCTCATCTAGGTCTCCTGGAGCCCATTGATAATTCCACTGGAGGTCCCCATCTGGGGCTCTTTCTCCTCTTTCTCCTCCAGCGTCCCTGATTATGAGTTGCCACCTCATTGGCTTACTTCCAGGCACCATTCAATATTCTAGCTTTCTCTTCTGCAGTACAACAATGGGGCAACAAAATCTGTAAATCTCCCCAGGTCAAATTGAAGGTCAGTGTTAACCTAGCAAATTTCTCAGTGAATCTGGCTGGCCCTCAAAGAACCAGCCAAACTTTTCCATACATTAAGACAAATCACTCATGGAGAATGGCACATGTGCCCCAAAAGTCCCTCCATCGCCACCTGCAGTCTCCCTAAGTGGAAACCCAGAGGCCCTGAGTTCGGTGGGTTGATACTGAATGTCTCCTGGAGCAACAGCAGAACTTGGTTCACAGAGCCCAGGTGGATACAGGTGGGGCACATCTGAATATGAATAAGACTCACTGGATCAGAAGGGGCTCAGCAGGACTGGCCTTTGTGTCCGAAGTCTCATTAGATGCAGGGACCCTCCTTCTGGGGGGGATGGGCTTTCAAGGAGGGGAGCATCCAACCTGTCAGATTTTTTTCAATTCTGAAAAATAAGTTATGTACATTCTATAATTTTCCTTTAATTTTGAGTCTTGATATAGTGCCATAAAGGCCATTACATATGGGATTTCCTCCCACCTATTCTCCTATTTACAAAGCAGTTCAAACTATAAGATGGTGTTAACACCCCATTCTTAGGCCAGACCTCTTGGTCTTGCAGTTGATATTGAGGCCAAGTTTCATTACAATGCAATATTAATTTCTTTCTCTTTAAATCACCCAATTTAGGGGCACCTGGGTGGCTCAGTCGGTTAAGCGTCTGCCTTCGGCTCAGGTCATGATCTCACAGTTCGTGGGTTCGAGCCCCACATCGGGCTCTGTGCTGACAGCTCAGAACCTGGACCCTGCTTCAGATTCTGTATCTCCCTCTCTCTCTGCCCCTCTCCTGCTCATGCTGTCTCTCTCTCTGTCTCTCTCTCTCAGAAATAAGTAAAATGTTTTAAAAAATTAAAAATAAATAAATAAATCACCCAATTTAAACTGTGCCCAATTCTCTAGGATGCACCCTAGTGGAGTCTTGGGATGCTCACAGCTGCCCCTGTTTAGGACCTGCCTGTGGGGATTGTTTGGTGACAGTATGGCTCCCCTCTGTCACACAGGACCCAGATTCTGCACTTTCGTTTGCCTGCCTTCATCTTTCCAAGCGCAAGAGGAAAGCAACAGCAGCTCGCTCTGCTAAGGTTTCTGATGGAGTCTGCTGGATGATTATCCTGAAATTAAGTGGGTCATACAAATGGGCAGAGGAAGTTGGACTCGCGAGCCTAGAACACGGAATTTGGCAAAACAGACGTTTTAAAAGGCACTTGAGTCAGAAATAGACAAAGGACAGGTCTGGATGTTGTCCTTCCAGATAAATACAACAAAAGGATCCAAATGCACAACAGAAGTCAAACAGCTGTGTTGCATTAACCAAAAAGTCAGGTTGGTTGCAAAGGGAGGATAAGATCCTAGGG